TCTAGTACTTTCACAACTAAATGAAAGAAATCAATGCCTGGTTTCAAAGCTTCAAAGGGTAGGCTGACCCTCTTGTTAGAGGCTAGTGCAGCTGGGGACTTTAAGTTAAAGCCAATGCTCATTTCCCATTCCAAAAGTCCTAGGGCCCTTAAGAATTATGCTAAATCTACTCTGCCTGTGCTCTATAAATGGAACAACAAAGCCTTGATTATAGCACATCTGTTTACAACATGATTTACAGAATATTTTAAGCTCACTGTTGAGACCTACTGCTCAAAAAAACAGATTCCTTTCAAAATATCACTGCTCATTGACAATTTACCTGGTCACCCAAGAGCTCTGATGAAGATGTAAGATGAGATGAATGTTGTTTTCATTCCTGCTAACCCAACATCCATTCTGCAGCCCACGGATCAAGGAGTAATTTCAAGTCTTATTATTTAAGAAATACATTCTGTAAAGCTATTGCTGCTGCCATATATATTGATTCCTCTGATGGATCTGAGCAAAGTAAATTAAAAGCTTTTGGAAAGGATCCACCATTCTAGATGCCATTAAGAACACTCATTCGTGGTTCATGAGGAGAGGTCAAAATACCAACATTAATAGGAATTTGGAAGAAATTGATTCCAACCCTCATGGATGACTTTGAGGGGTTAGAGACTTCAATGAAGGAAGTAACTACAGATGTGCTGGAAATATCAAGAGAACTAGAATTAGAAGTGGAGCCTGAAGATGTGACTGAACCACTGCAGTCTCATGATCAAACTTGAATGAATGAGAAGTTGCTTCTTCTGGATGAGCAAAGAGTGGTTTCTGGAGACAGAACAAATTCCTGGTGAAGACGCTGTGAAGACTGTTGAAATGATGACAAAAGGTTTATATTACATGAACTTAGTTGAAACAACAGCAGCAGGTTTTGAGAAGATTGATTCCAATTCTGAAAGAATTTCTACTGTGGATAAAATGCTATCAAACAGCATCACGTGCTACAGAGAAAGCAGTCGTGAAAGGGAGAGTCAACTGATGTGGCAACCTTCAGAAACCACCACCCTGAGCAGTCAGCAGCCGGCAAGGCCCACTGAAGGCCCAGAAGATGGTTAGCATTTTTAGCAATAAGATATTTTTAAATTATGATATTTACAATGTTTTGAGAGGTAATGCTATTGTACACTTAACAGATTATAGTATAGTGTAAACATATCTTTTATATGCACTGGAAAACCAAAATAATTGCAACTTGTTTTATTGTAATATTAGCTTTATTGTGGTGGTCTAGAACCAAAGCCACAATATCTCCATGATATGCTTATATTATCTTTCAGATCACCTTAGTCTTTCCCCCAGTTTAGCGCAGCACGATCAGAAGAAAACTCCCAGACCCTGGCTTCAACCTGGGAAAAAAAGAGTTGGAACGTGCATCTAATGTTCTGGGTTTTGAGGGTGCTGCCCAACGGACTGGTTTCCATCTTGCCTATCTTGGAGCACTGATGAGACCCGGCACACTCTAGATGCCTGGGGGACACTGAGAGCAAAAGTGAGCTGGGCATCTTGCCTCTGCTCCAGAGGACCACATGGTACAGCAGACAGAAGGCAACACGGCTTGGCGACCTCTCCATCGTGGGTCAAGAAAAGAGTGGAGCATACATTCAACACCCTGGCTTTTTGGGAGCTACCCAGAGGAATGGTTTCTGTCTTGTCCAACACAGAGTACTGATGGGATGCTGAATACTCTAGAAACCTGGGGACCTCTGAGAGTAAGAGACTTGAATGGCTTCCAGCAGCTCCAGAAAATTTGCAGTTCTACAGACAGACACCAGAGGTAGCAAGAGATTACAAGCTCATAAAAAAAAGAAACTGGAAAATCCATCTAATTGGGAATTTACATGCACAAGTCCAGAGAAAATGAATCCACGGCCAAGGTTTGATTGGTGAAAGTCTTTCCCTGTACACAGCCAACCTGTAAAGACTGAGAGAGGTGGCTGTTTCCTCAAATGGATAGACCACGACCCAGTTACAAGGCATACCACAAAACAGGGAAGCATGGCTCCATCAGAGGCACAGAATAAATCTCCAGAAACAAAGTTATAGCAATATATGTATTAATAAGGTTATAAAGGATGAGTAAATGGGAAAATAAATATGGAAAACACTTTGAAATTTATGAGAATCATAAGAATGAAATGTGATTCTAATAAACGATTACTGGCTCATTTATTTGCCTTCCTCCTAATTTAAATGCTGATCTTGGTCCTTGAGGCCATGCCATTATAAAGATTTCTTTTATCAGAAGAAATTCTATTCAAAGAGAAACAAATTTATTAAAGCCATAGGGTTATAAAGGTGGGTGATATGACAATAAATAATGGGCATCTTCTGCACTGAAAAGGACTGGATAAGCACAAAAATACTCAACCAGCAGTGAATATTAATGAAGCTAAAGTGGATTGCCTCTGTGGGGCAGAAAGAAAAAAATTAGGTCATATATTGAGCCCTGTTTGTTGCCATTCCAAAAACAACATAGCAAAAATGATGTCTCCACCTCCAGACTGCCTCCACCTGCCATGACCTTCCAGTTATGTTCACAATTCTAAATGAATCTGGGTGGTGCTGAACGGTGGGACCATTTTCGAATTCACACAGTTTCCTCCAGCGCTGCCCTGAAATTCCAGGCTTCTCTTTCCCCTGTCCACGACCAAAGACATCTCAGTTCAGATGATAAGAATCACATGTTTCAACCCGAAAAAAGGGAT